ACACCACACCCACAGAGCCCTGAGCACCTGCACAGGGTGATACTTACGAACACGTGCACACCCGCCTTAACAGACAGGGACACACACACACACACACACACACACACACACACACACAGGCCCCCGACAGGCCTCCCCCACGCATGCAGATACCCTTAGGCACATCCACACTCATACGTGTTCCAGCTCTAGCACAACCTGCCGGGAGAGGCTGGGAGCACACACCGAGGCAGGGCTGGGCCCGGAGGTGCTGTGGCTGCCTGCAGCCCAGACCCCTCACCCGCCTCCTTTCTGCAGGGCTCCTCCCGGGCAGGTCTGTCCAGCTGCCAGGCCTCGCTCCGCCCTGGCCCGCCCTCTTTTGCTCCCTCCCTCCCTCCCTCCCTGGCCTTGCCAGCAGCAGGGAACTGGACCAGCCCCGGACGGCCACAGGTCTGCACATCTGGAGTGCGAACAAGAAAAAACAAACCCAATTAAGTAAGATAATAATGACGGGACGTGGCTACAGGCCCCTGATGGAGGAAGGTAAGCCCGGCCCGGGCTTCCCCTCTAGGGAGCTGAGCCAGCTCCCACTAACTCACTCAGCAAGGCCAAGGAAGGCAGAGAGAGACCCAACTTCCCCTTTCAAGGCAGTCCCATCTGTCCCCACGCTTGTCACCACAAGCCAAACCGAAGAGGGAGTGCCTGGGGACAGTTCCCTTCCACGTTCAAGTGCACTCTAGCGGGCTTCCGCCCTGTACACGCCCAGCCCAGCCCGGGGATTTCAGAATGGAGCATTCTAGTGCAGGGCCAGACTTGCAGCCAAGAGCTCTGCCTGTGGGCCCTGGCTGCTTTGGGCCCTCCCAGGCCTTGGCCCTTTCATCCGGGTTCCTGAGCGGCTGCAGCGCTCACAATCCTCCATCTATCCCCATGGGTGGGTGCAGAGCTTTCGCCTTCTCAATAGTTTTTTTGTGTCCTGTCTCCCCCCCCCCCCCCCCCAGCCCCTCACCCTGCCCCCTCCTTTTATGCACTCAGCAGTAGATTCAGGCAGAGCGAGGGGCAGGAAATATGTCCACGCACGCATCCCTTCTCTGAAATCCTTTAGAAGGTGGTACACACTAATGGGGTTGTTTAAAAAAAAAAAAAAAAAACACAAAAGAAACACACCTTCCTTTTCAAACAGCTGGTGGAAATGCCACCCTATTAGGGCATTCTAAAACACACATTACAGGCTCGTTTTCACAAGCGACTACAAAAGAATTTTATCTTGAGTTAACACGGTTTTCCAGCCAGTCAGCTTGAGTTCCGCTCCCCAGCCTGCGATAGAAATCCTGGCTTGTCTTTACTTGCAATTTGTTATTTCTTGCTCCTTTAAGTTTAAACGAAAACTTTCCTAAGGGTGATCAAGCAACAGCCCGAGAGTTTTGTTTGCTGTGAATTCCAGCCGCTGCGGAGACAATGACCTACATACCCTCCATTGATCTGTGGCAAGAGGAAATTTCTGAATGATTCTCCTCCCCCCGCTTCCCCACCCCCTCCCACCCCCAAGGTTTCCACACTCCACTGGGTCTAAAATACAAAACACATCAGATCTTAGCAGTTGGGCTTGCAAACAAGCCAATTTTGAAAAATACATGTGGCTTACCCCAAAAAGAAGCCGAACATTCCAGCTGATCAAAAGGACTTGTTTGAGGAAAATAAAGTTTTAGAATGAAGTGGAAGCAAGTAAGCCCTTGGAAACGCTACTCAGCACCCCAGTCTAGACCTTTCCACATTCTTGATGGTGAAGCGGCCAGAGAGCCTGCAGGGTCCTTGCTGGAGAACCCTCCTTGGCCTGGGGTTTCCCCTCCCTTGCCGTGGGGGCCCTCAGCCAAGGGCCGGGCATCTGGGAGGACGTTGAAACTGTTCCTCACCCCTCTTTGGCAGCGTGCACCCAGCACCAAAACGCTCCAGCTAACACCAGTGCAATCATCGTTAACATGAAACAGCTGCCTGAAAAGCCCAGTGGGGCCGGCAGGCTGCCCACCCCCGGCCCCGGCCGGCTCAGCTGTGAGACACAGGGATCTGGCTGGCCCTGCTGGGAGAGGGGATGCGAGTACTGGCTGATAGAGCCCAGCTGTCGGAGATAAGAAAACGAACTTGCTCAACGTCTTACCTACTTTGGAAAAAGTTGTCTGAACGGTGCGGGGGTGGAGAAAGGTGAAGGAAAAAACAAAACACATGATTTATGAATCCGTTTTTTTTTAAGTTTTTAAAGTGATTGTAGGAAAAAAAAAAATAGTTGAGTCAGCAAACCGGTAGGTTTTGTTTTTTTTTTCCCCTTTTTTCCCAGAGACCTGGGCTGAATTTGCTCTCTGGCCACTGGGTCATCTCAGACACTCACCGTTTGCATAAGGAACACGTGCGCCCTCACTGCCAGAGGAAGCTGTCCGCATAAACAAACATTACCCAGATATGTGTGTAACCTCTTTCATCTTCCCCCCTCTGGACAAGGGCACAATCAGGCTTTCCAAAGTCCAGGAAAACCCCCGACCTAAACCCCAACACCTCCAGTTTAGCACTTACAGGGCCTGCAGCCCACAGCCTGGCAAGACTGTCCTCCCCCGACAGTTCAGATCCCTGGACGTCCCAGCAAAAAAAAAAAAATCCTCAGCTGCCATTGCAGACACGTGATCCATTTGATGACTCACAGGCAGGCCACACCCCTCCAGGCCTCCCAGCCAGGCCTCTCCACCAGCAACACTGGGATGCACCTTATTACCAAGGGGACCAGCTAACTATCCAAATAATTACTTTTTCAGCTGAAGAATTTACTATATAAAATATGGAGAGGCAGACTCTGCTAGCTCTCTAAACCCTAGTTCCCTACCCCTCTTGAGACCTGGGCCAGGCCTGACAAAATGATGGGAAGATATAGTCCCATTTAAAAAAAAAAAAAAAAAAAGTTACCTTACACGTGAATACCTTTTTTTCCCAAAAATTTTATTGGGGGGAAAACTACAAAACATTTACAGTACAATGTTTACAGTCACAATCTGTAGTGAACTGATTCCCCAAAGTATATTACAACTCAAGTTGACTTGTCTTGTTACATTCAAATACCTACTTCTGTGTCAAAGTAGTCCCGAGTATATAACATAACATAGTGCTCCAACTGTACCTACGTACATACAAACTAAAGCTACTGCTCATTCACCGGCTGTCTAGGAAAAAAAAGCATTCCTGCCTTTCTACAATGGGAAGAAAAATAGTACAAGTTTTGGAATTTTCTGTAATCAAACAAGGCATATTCATGTAATAACATACTATTATTTTAGCACTAAGAGGTGGCCTCTTCACTTTATCTATGTAAAAAAAGTGGTAAAAAAATCTTTTCCTGTTGTGCAGTTGAACCCATCCTACATTCAAATTCTCTCAAGCACTAATAGACAAAAAAAATACTTATTTGGTTGAGGAAGATTTAAGGCTAGTTCTGGCCCTTCCAAAGGCACTGTGAGACTACCCCCCATTATTGCTACATGTCTGTATACGCAGAATTATGTCACAGTAGAACTGGTGGAATAAGCAAACAGAAACATCTTTTGCTAGGTTATAAAGTTGGAATGAGAAAAGCATGCCACATTTCAACCTGACTGCTAAGTATGTGGTCACTTTTTTCTTTATCGTTAGATGGGCTACAACCATTATACATTCTAAGAAAACTCTCAAACTACTTCCACAGCATGTAGATTTCTATAAAGAAATCATTCAATCTTTCAGAGATTTACGTAAACAAGTAAAGAAATTAATGAAATAAATATTACATACAATCTCTTAAATTAAGATTTTTTTTACTCATTTACAATAAAATAACCATGTGAAGTTACAAAAGTCATATATTACTGTGAAAACAACATACACTCCACATTTTGCCGATTAATAATGGCAATCATAATTTAACATAATAAAAGAATATATATCTATTGCTTTCCATCATACCTGATAAATACAGTATGAACAAAATTTTCAATGTATACTTTTCACAAGATAATAAATAAGTTAAATAGGTTTTTTTTTTTTCATATTGAGTTGTGGTGCAGTGGTGCGAATCAACTCAAAAAAACAGCTAAAAATTCAGCAGTTATTCCCCAACAACTACAAAACTAAGCTCTGCCCAAGGCTTCCAGAGAGAGCAGACAAAATGATTCTAACTTAAACATCCACTAAGTTAAGTGGTAGCAATGAAACCAGTAACCCAGTATGAAACTTTGGAATGCAAGTTTTTTTGTTGTTTTTCCAGGCACACATAACTCGGTTAAAATACAAACACATGAACCTACGGAGCCTACTATCGAAGGCATGTTCTTGGCAAAGTATTACATTTTAGAAGCTTACAGGGTTTAACAAGGTGGTGGCTAGGCTGGTTTGTTTACACTGGTCTGAGACAAACACAATAAGGAACTTCTTTCAAGACAGGAGTTCCCACATCTGGACTGTAACTAATGCTTTTCAAGTGAGGATATGGAATGGTATGGTTGGTAGCTGCTGGTGCTGGATTGATTTTTTCTTTTCCCCCCTAAAGTCCCAAACTCATCTGAGACCTGAAAACGTTGAAGTGTTTGGTTTTTGTTTTTGTTTGTTTGTTCTTATTCGCATCACAACTGCCCAGGTTGTGAATATTTTGTTCATCCATACAAAAAAAGTTCGTTGGCTGTTTTTTTTTTTCCTTTTCTCAACAAGAATGAAACTTGGTAATAATAAAAATAATAGAAAAAAACAAAACGAGAGGAAACCGAAAAGGGGAGGAGTGAGGGGTGTGGAGGCCCCTCTCCTGGCACACAAGTTCGAGTCCAAGTGCTCGGTCCAGCCTTGCAGTCTGCACGTGGCCTTGTTCACTCCCCCACTTCTCGAGTCCCCCCCCCCCCGCCCCCCTAAAATAAAAGCTCGGTCGAGATGGCAGGGGGTGCATCCTCCTCTCCAACACCCCCAGAACCGGCAATCTCCCCCCCCCCTTCCTCCTCCTTCCTCACTGGCGCCCCCTTGCCTCAGTCGTCGGAGATGGAAAGGCGGCTGAAGATGGGCAGGCGACGGCCGGGGTCCAGGCTGGGGGACTCGGAGCCACTGAGGCTGCCGGAGCTCAGGGAGCCGCTCAGGTAGCTGTCGCGGTCCGACAGCGAGTCCGGGGGGCTCGGGGGCGCGTCGAACACGGGCGACTCGGACAGGCGGCGCGGCAGCTGGTAGCTGAAGGGCGGGGAGGGGGGCGCGGCGGCGGGCAGGGGCGCGCTGGGCGGCTGCGCGGGGGGCACCAGGCCCGGCTGCTGCTGCTGCTGCTGCTGGGAGCGGTAATAGGCGGCGGCGGCCACGGCGGCGAAGTTGTGGGTCTGGATGGCGAGCGGCGTGATGAGGCTGGTGAGCTCCGGGCCGAAGGCGAAGGCGTTGTTGGCGCAGGAGGCGGCCGAGCAGGCGGCGCACGGGGCGCCGGGGGCCAGCAGGTCTTCGGCGCCGCCCGTACCGTAGAGGAGCGCGGCCGCCGCCGCCGCTGCAGCCGCCGTGGCGGAGGAGGCACAGCACGTCGGGGCGCCCGAGGGCGTGGAGGCTGCGGAGGTGGAGGAGGAGCAGGAGGACGCGGACGAGGAGCAGGAGGAGGAGGAGGCCGAGGAGCAGGAGGGCAGCGGCGGCGGCGGCGTGCGGGACGTGGGGCTGTCGAGCAGCAGCAGCTGCGAGGACTCCAGGCCCCCGCCGCCGCCGCCGCCGCCGGGAGGCTGGTGGTGGTGGCCCGACGGGAAGCCCGAGAAGCTGAGGCTGTGGTGCAGCTTGGGCCGCGGCTCCCGGGGGAAGCCCAGGGCCAGCGCTTCGCCGCCAACGCGGGCACCGAAGGTGCGCAGGTCCCCCCCGGAGGAGGCGCCGCCGCCGCCGCCACCCCCCGAGGGCGCAGGCCGCCGCTCGTCCGCGTTGTGGATGAAGTGGCAGCGCGGCCCGTAGGGGCAGAAGCCGATGGTGTGGAAGGTGCGGCACAGCTCCGTCTTGTACTTGGGGTGGCGGGTCAGGCTGCGCAGCTCGTGGAAGCCGTGGGCGAACTGGCACTTCTCGCCGTACTTGCACGTGCCGCTCTCCTCGAAGGGCCGGCACAGCTCCGTCTTGTAGCGCGTGGAGTTGATCTGGGAGCCGCCGCCGCCGCCGCCGCCGCCCTTCGGCTGCTGCTGCTGCTGCTGCAGGTGCAGGAGGTGCTGGCTGCGCTCGCCGTTCTCGCTGAAGGAGCGGTCCCGGAATTTGTTCTCCTTGTTGAGCAGCGCGGTGCCGCCGCCGCCGCCGCCGCCGCCCCCCGACGGCTCCTTGAGGCTGCTGCTGTAGGGCGCAGCCGGGCTCCCCGCCACCCCGCCGCCGCCGCCGCTGGGCGCGCCCGGGAACTTGGGCGAGCAGCTGCCCGGGCTGGGCGCCGCGGGGTGGGCGAGCGCGTGCAGGTTGCTGGCCGAGTGCCGTCGGAGGAAGCCCGGCGTGAAGGCCGCGCTGGGGGCGGCGGCGGCGGCCACGGGCGTGCCCACCGCCTTCTTGTCCAGCATGTTGTTCAGATGGAGGTTGGCCAGGGATTTCTCCGTCTGCCGAAAGGGAGAGCGGGGAAGGGGTTAAAAAGAAAAAGAAAAAAAGAGTTGGGGCGAGGGGCAGGGTTAAGGGAGAGCGGGGAAAGGGGTGAAAAGAAGAGGGCAGGAGGGAAGAGTGGGGGCGAGGGGCAGAGTTAACTGCCAGGTTTCTGATTGTTTTTGTTTTTTTTTTCCTCTCTGCGGATTTCGACTCGGCCCCCACCCCTCCAGCCCCCCTCAAAAAAAGTTCGCTCTGGTAGGAGCCGTGCTGCTGGGTTGCGCCCCGGGACCCTCGGCCCGTGGGCCGCTGGCTCGGGCGGCGCAGACTCGGCCCGGGAAGCCCCGAGCAGCGTGGCCACGGCCGGTCGGTCGGCCGGGGAGACACTAAACAGCTACAGCCGCTTCCCCTCCCTCCTGCCCGGCCTCCCTCCCCGCTCCTTCTCCCTGCCCGGGAGGCACCCACCAGCACGAACGACTACTACAACAAACTTGGGTGGTTGTGTTTTTTTCCTCCCAACCACCCAAAAAAAGTCAACGTGGGGAGGGGCTCCCCCCAAAAAAGGCCGAGGACAGAAAAGGCAAAGTCTGAAAAAACAAAAACAAAAACCACTCCAAGGGCTTCCTGCTTGCTTTGCTCGCCTTCTTCTCTCCTTTGCTCCAAGCCCCGCGTACCTTGCACAAGAAGTCGATGTCGTAGAAGGCGGGCAGAAGTGTGGTCGACATGTTTCTGGATCCTGTAAGGGTCCGGGCTGCAGGCTGGGACGAGGTCCGGAGGAGCCTTCGGCGCGGCGGCACGGCCGGACCGGAGGAGCCACGACGGATAACGGGAGAGGGGCGGGGGAGGGACCCGAAGTTGGCGGGGAGCGCGGACGGAGGGAGAGGGGGGAGCAGCGTGGACGCGTCGGAGGGTGCCCCGGGGAGTGCGGCGTGGGGGGAGAAGAAGGAGAAGCAAAGAGCGCTGCTCCTCCGCGCCCCGGGGTGCCAAGCCCGCCCGCCCCCCCCCAGCGCGGAGCCGGCGGCAGCTCGCGGACTGCTGGAACTCGGGGGCCGCCGCGCTCGCGCCCTATATAGCCGGCCGCGCGCCGGGGGAGGGGACAGGCTCGCCCCGCTGGGGTCTCCAGGCAACAGGCTGCCCGCCGGCCAGCGGACGTCAGGTGCCTTCCCGGCCTCCCATTGGCCGCCGCCAATTTTTTTTCTTGCTCGGGGCGGGGCGAAGCCTGGGGGGCGGGGCCCCCGCCGGCCCGCGGTGGCTCGGGAGCTCGGCCTGGCTGGGTGCTGAGGGTGCTGCTGCTGTTGCTGCTGGGCGGTGGGGGGGACGCGGCTTCCCTCCTGGGGGGCCGCCCGGTGGAAAAGCCCCAGCACGTCTCACGTGGCTGGCGTCTTGCAATCCTGGACGTGTCTTTCCCCGCCCGATCCTGCCAGGCGGAATGGCGTTTGATTTTAACTCCCACCCAGGGGTTCAATACGGAACGCGCGGGAATTGCAAAATGCAAGAATACTGCAACCGTCGGCGCGGCCCGGCTGGTTTGCAAAGGGTGGGTGCTGTGCTGTGGCCGGGGGACCAGGGTGGGAGGGGGGCGTGTTGGGGTGCGGGCTCAGGGCCCAAGCCTGGTGGGTGGAGGCTTCGCCCCGGCTGCACGTGGAGGCCCGGTGGGGGGTGGGGCGGCAGCGGCCACGCGGGCGGCAGTCTGGCCGCCGGGAGGAGCCCGGGCCGCTTTCCCCGCCCCGCTCCCCGCCCAGGCTGCAGTAAACAGGGCAGAGTGTCTGAGGACAAGGCGCTGGCTTTGCTAATCACATCACAAGACCTTGAGCCTGGGCCAAAGTCGCGGAGTGGCGCGGGGCGTCCCGGGCGGGGGAGTCTCCTGCGAGGACGGGAGGAAAGGCAGGCAGAGCGGCGGAGGCATGGAGGCGGCTTCCCGCCACCCTGTGTGTCTCCTGGTCAGTCCGGCTTTTCCCAGCCCTCCCGGGGATTGGGGTGTAGCTGCCGGCCAAGCTCCCCCGCCCGCCCGCCCGCCCGCCCGCAGCCTTGGCCTGGCGCACCCTCCAAGCCCTCCCTTGGCCACTGGGGAAGCCGCGCCCCGACTTAGCTCGTTGTGGGCCCCAGGCTCTGGCTAAAGCTGCCCGCGGCCAGGCAGGGCTGGGCACCGAGGGCTCGGATGATGGACGCGCCCCATTTCCTCTCGCCAGCTCCACACCCCTAAAGCGGGTGCCGGGAAATGTTCTGCCTCCGGGTATGGGGCAGACACCCCCTCTAGCGCCCAGTGAGGCTAAAGCCGCGGACAGGCCCACTCGGGCAGATAAAGAGTCTGTTGCAGGCCGCTTGCCACTTCCTACCTATAATTATGCTGCCAAGAAGCTGGGGCTGGGCCCATGATTCTGCACACCTGGCCGCCTAGGCTGCAACTGGACTTAAATTGGAAGAGTCAGGGAAGAAAGCTCCCGGGCCCACACCCCCTTCCCGAGCTGATCTTATTTCGCATGTGTTCTGCCCTTATTCCCATTAGGTTGCTCATTTCCTCTCTCAGCTAAGCTGGAGGGGAAGGGCTCCTTTGAGTTCAGCTTGAATGCAGTACCCAGTGCTGCACTACCTCTACACCTACCCAGGGAACTAGAGTCTGGGTAGGGCAAAAACTTGAGGGTCAGAAACTTAGGGCTTGAAGTTCAGAGCCTGCCCCTTCCAAGCCATGTGGTTTTAGGCAAGTCACATGACATTTGTATACCAAGGACTCTTTGGTACTTGAGTTTTCTGGCGAAACTAAGATAATTCCTGCTTTACTTATTTCTCACCTTAGTCAAGGTGCAAATGAGTTGTTAAAGGTGTTTAAAAGATGAGTAAAGTCCATCCTAGTGACTAAAGCAAATTTACATAGCATAAAAAATAACAGGAAGCCAGTCCTCTGGTCTATGGCCAGATGTCTAGAGGTTTGCAGAATCATGAATGCAGAGATAGGGGCACCAAATCTTAAACTTGAGGATAGTGCCCTCAGAACAGGTGACCGCTTCATTCTTTTTTACATATATACTAGAGGCCGGCCTGGTGCATGGAATTTGTGCACAGGTAGGGTCCCTAGGTCTGGCAGGAGATCAGGGCTGATTGGGGCCTTGCAGTTGCCAGCTGGGGCCTGCCTTCATTCCACCCCGCCCCCTGGTGGTCAGCACATGTCATAGCAAGTGGTCAAACTCCTGAGGGACAGTTTGCATATTAGAATTTTACATATATAATCTTTATTTTTTAAAGTATTACATATGTTCCCCTTCCCCCCATTGACCTAGCGCCCCCCCCCCCACTATTGTCTGTGGGTGACTGTTTCATTCTTATGACTGACCCAGCCTTCCCTGGCCCCTAGATAGAGCTGGGCTGCTGCAGCTGACACTTCTAAAACCCTGGCTGTTCTGTTTTGTTCTTTATTGAAATGACCCCAAAGACAACAATTTGAGGGTGGCCCTGACAGTAGGGGATTCCAGAGTTTCTCTGGGAATCAGGAAAGTGTAGGATAGCCATTTCTCTAGCCACTGCTATTGGAGGTGAGCAACAGGATTTCAAACACAAGACCAGTGACACATCTGTCCCCCCTGTCCTTCCAGGCTGTCCCCCCTGTCCACAGCCAACCAAGATCAACCCCAGGGTAATTCTGCCTAGTCCACAGCTATGTAGACTTGGTAGAAGGATTCTGGAGATAACATATAAACATGCTATAGAGTACAGGTTTTGGTACAGAGTACCTGCTGGTATAAAACATTTTTTATTATTATGCAACTGCTTGTATTTCATTTTAAATAAAGAAAAAAAAAGGAATGTGGACTTTGCTGGGGCCAGTTTCATAATATTCTACCATGGCTATCGGCACATCATGCCAACAATTCCCTGACTTCTCACCAGCCAGGCCTTCTCAGAACAAAAGAAATATTAGGTTGGCAACCTCCCATAAAGTGTGTGTGAGCCACACAGATGCCTAACCAGGAAATTAATTTAGGATCATACAAAAAAAAAATTTTTTTTTTTTTTTTTTTAGTTGAATGGTGCAAAACAAGCAAAGGAATCTCCTATTCTCATTAAGACAAAACTTTGGACACTAAGTCAACTTTTCTCCCTCTCTAAAGAGCCATTTCTTTCTATTTCTAGGGTGGCTGTATTTTTAATGTGATGTGGTTTTCTTCAAAGAGAGACAAATTATATCTGAAATATAAGCCTTTCTGCAGTAGGAAATGATCATATCAAACTCTCCTCTAAACTGCCTCTTCAGACCCTCAGACATCAATAATATAATTCTAAGAGACTGCTCACCTGAAAAGTATTTTAAAATATTTACAGATCCTAAAAGCTGGGCCAGGTTTATATACGATTGCTGAAATGGCCTTTTCAGATAACTAGGATGAAAAATGAATGTGGATGAGGCTATGACCCATCCCAGCTACAAATTTCAAGATAACTGCCCGAGGGTTACACTCACTCTGAAATAACAAATTGAAAATGGCATGTCCATGAAAAACAGGACCAGCTGCAAAATGTATGCAAGAGTGACACCTGCTGGGTGTCTGAGGAAGAGGGCTGGGCTCGGCAAGACAGAAAACCCTTAGGCCTGCGAGATTCACTCACTGGAATGGATCAATGTTATTTTCTGGCTCCTAAATAAGAAACCTTTTGTTATTGTCACTAAGAAAATGATGGTAAACAGTGTGGGCATCAAATACGCCATTTATCCCGGCTCTCCTTTCCCCGGGTTCCGTCTAACAGCCAAGAGGCTATGCTTTCACCGGGTATGTAACTCGGGTATCCCTAGCATTAGCAAAAACACCTTTTTCCTGGGGTAGGAGCGCTCAATGACTCTTTTAATCATTAGAAGTGGCATGTGTAGGTCACTCAGGACTCACACATGCAGGCAATAAAGAAAACCCCTATTTGTATGAAGTTGATCCTTAATACTCTCAGGATCCATCCAACATTTGGAACATATTCCTGCTTTAGCTAAAATGGAATAAAGTTTAGAATTCTGACCAAATGGGCCATTTGCCAACAAATCCAGCTCCGACATCCAGCCCCCCTCCACCCCCCCCCCAAAAAAAAAGGGGGGGGAGGGAGGAGAGGAATCATATGTCAAAACCCAATTCTATGCAGTCAATTCACAGAAAACGCAGGCCGGCTACGGCTGGACATTAGCGGACCTGGAGGATGAAAAAGGCTGATTCAGACCCACAGGTGGCCTGCACCTGGGAACAGAGCAAATATTCACCGTGGTAGCCTCACTTCCTACAGTAGCTGCAATAAACCAGGCTGCCCTGAATGAGGGAACTGATGAAAAACTCCTCTGTAGAAAGACTGGACTCACAGAAGTCGGGGAGGTATGAAGGGCAAAAAAAAAAAAAAAAAAAAAAAGTGAATTTATGTTCAACATATTTCCTGCAGGTTTAGCGGGGACTAATCCACCCTCACCCCACCACACTAACCCTCACCCTCCAGCAAGTCTTTCTTCAACAAGCCACTTCTGTTCCTGGAAGAGTTAACTGATTTGCTTCTGCTGGAGGGTCAGCAGCACTGGGAACCAGGGTGCCTTCCCCTTCCTTTCCTTCCAAAAAGGCCAGCAGCCTCAGGCAAGCCAAGGTCCTTTCCTCCTGAACGCGCAGTCTCGTGAACTCCACCGTCTTCAGGAACGCGGCGGGCGGGGGCAGCTCTCTGAAGAGCTGGGGAAGGCGGTGGCGCTGCTCTGACGCTGTCCTTCGAAGATGACAGAGCCTCTCGGGGCTGAGGGCACGCCAGCTGGACTTGGAAAGGAGATGGGAGAGGTTCTTGGAGAGGTATTTTACAAAGATCAGGGTCTCCGCCCAAAAGTTGATTTCTGCTTTTTCAAACAGGTAGTCTTCTTCCACCTAAATCGGACGGAAAGCCAAAAGTCAACCTCACAGGGGATGCTGACAAACACAAGCCCAGATCAGAGTCCTACCAGATGCAGAAGAGGCAGGTCCCTTCCCCCACCGGAGAGAGGGCCCACTCCGGCCTGTCAACACCAGCCACACACACCACTTGCAGCCTTGAAGGTCACCTTCTATTTTCACTCGTACTTCTCTACTGGAGAGGAATTTTTTTTTTTTTCTCCAGACTTAACATGACCTTTGATAAAGATGTGTTTGTGGTTCCAAGCCAAGATATTTTGGGGGCCTGGTGCTGAAAAGGGGACCTCAACATGGGGGGGTGGGCCCTGGACATAAAGGTGCGTCTAGAAATCAGAGAGGAGGGAGGAAGGGAACTCTTGGCAACAGAACAAAAGCAAACTACCCGACACGAGACACTACACAGTCTCTGAGTATGAAATTAAATTTTTATAATGTTGGGGATTTTCAAGGCCATTTTATCTTGTTTCTCAATTTCCCATCAACAGGCTGCTTTTGAACTCTCAGCCTGCTGGTGATGCCAAGAAGGCCATCTGAGTCAGATACTGTGGATGGGAAAGGAAGTTGTGAAGAACCTTTTGCTGCTTGTCTTAGTTCTTGGTTTTTCTGTATGTTGACTAGTCCCCCACCTGGATGGGGCTAACAGTTTTCTTCAGTCAGCAAATACCCTGGGAGGTCCCTGATGCTCTGGAAATGTTTCACCTTCAGACCTCACCACATGGAGCCCCGGCTCCTCCACTGTTGACTGATACAATTCTCCATAATTCAACTCTCAACTTCCAACGAGCCTCTTTTAAGTCCCCTCTCCCCCTAGACCAGAACCCCAAAAGCCAGCATGAGAGCTGCCCCAGCAGCGCCCAGCAAGCTGCCACGATCATTTGGAAAGTTTCTGAGTATCCAGAAGCATGTTTCAGCAGTCATGTTAGGCCGAGTGAGCCTATAAGTTCTGTATCCTATGGGTTTAGGACTCTCCCATTTCACCTCCATTGCCCCAAGACCCAGGACTACCTGATGCTCGTTCTCCACACAGACCACGAGGTCATCTCCCTCTCCCAACAGCCATCCCAGCAGGACCGGGAGTGCAGGGGCGAGCTGGTTCCACTGCTGGAGCAGGTCACACAGCACAACCAGGGCCAAATCCAGCGCGATGGAGGCATCCACCTGGCAGAAGGCAAATTCTGTGGAAACGAGAGAGGTGAGAATTGAGTGTGCTGCTCAGGGTCAACCCAGGGAGGCTTTGTGGGGTTCTGGGAACACGAAGGGCCTCAGGCAACACCAATGCCACCAGACTGGCAGGGAAGCTGGTGGGATGGGCTCATTAAATATTGTTAACCCACTCTGAGTCTTGCTGTCTACAGTGTGGATAGGAGCAAGCACATCTGTAGAACTAGACATTAGCTCCCCCTGGCCCACCTAGTGTAATTGGAAGGTTATCAGGAAACTTGCCACCCAGTGTCCCTTCTGCAGGCCTGCCACAATGCCCAAATTCCATTGGTTCACCCCTTTTTCCAGCAGCAAATCCCACTGGACACATACACAGAGCATCTCTAACATCTTAACAGGGAATCAGAAAACTTGTTCTTAAAAGGCCAGTGTGTGTGTGTGTGTGTGTGTGTGTGTGTGTGTGTGTGTGTTTCTCAAATGAGGATATTTTTCCATTGACTTTGTTTGTTTTTTAGAGAGAGTGGAAAAAAGAGGAAAAGACAGAAATGTCGATTTGAGAGAAATTCATTGATTGGTTGCCTCCTCCATGAGCCTCAACTAGGGCCCAGGCCGGGGAAGGAGCCTGCAAACAAGGTATGTGCCCTTGACCAGAATCGAACCTAGGACCCTTCAGTCCCCAGGCTGTTGCTTTATCCACTGAGCCTAACTGGCTAAGACCAGACAATAAATATTTAGTAGTCACAACTACTCAACTCTGCTGAGAGTAGCCATAGACAATATGTAAACACATGGTTGTAGCTGTGTTCCAATAAAACTTTATGTCCCAATAAAATTTGAATTTCATGTAATGTTTGTGTCACAAAATATCCTCCTTTTGATTTCCCCCCAACCATCTAAAAATGCAAAAAACTATCGTGTTACAGTTTACAAGCTGTACAACAGCAGGCTGTGGGCTGGGATTAGCTCAGATTTTGCTGCCCAGTCTTATAGTGACTTCGTCTTTCAGACACTCGTCTTCCTTGCTGGCTGGGTAAAGCCTGCTGAAAGAGGAAGTGGGTGCCTTGGGGGAACCATTGCTTACTTCACCATCTTGCCTGACCCAGTCCTAAACATGGGTCTGAAGGGAGGCTCGGGGTGTTGACACTTCCGCAAACAACCTCGCCACTTCTACCGCTGGCCTGGAAGAGGTCTGAAACATGGGACTGGAACCCCATTCCACTCAGTAAGTGGTTAACTAGTATTATTGTAGATAACAGCAAACTCTTTCCTTCTAACAGCTCCCACCACCATGAGGGAAGTATCCCTACTGAACAAATGAGGAAGCTATGCGTCTAGTGGTTGGGTAAACAGGTCCAGTCCACACAGTCAGTGATGGTGGCACTGGGCCAAGCTGACCTGGGTGCACGGGCTGCCCCCTAACCTGCAGGGAGGCAATGGAGAAACACTCCCTGCACCCTATACAGATGAAGTCAGGTTTTGTCACTTTTAGTCATTTAAAAAGCTCCCAGCTGAGGGCTGTATTTTGAGGGAAGGAGGGGAGTTAGAAGCTGTAAGTCCTTAGTATTGTGGCACCAGCATCAGGTCAGCTTATCTTGAAACCTTTCTAAAAGATCTGCCCTTTGACTCACCCCCCTTTCCCCACCCTTCTTTTTTATTGTCTCCTTAAGGCAAGGGCTGAAAGCCCCACAGGGAAGACAAAACTTTCATGTACCAGCAAAACCAGGGCCTGCAGCTCAGGCAACCCTGCTATTAGGTCCATCAAGGACACGTGCA